GAGGCAAGATTTTCCCTCCATTTCTCTGTCCCTTCGCTGACTGAGCAGCCCTGGTTATGTATTTTCTTCTCCCCTGAAGAAACTTTGGCTGTCCCACCCTGTGTCAGTAATATATATTGGCTATTTGCTCAGCCTAGGAACCTGAGGGAAAGGATAGGATCACCTTTTAACATAAACCCTTGAAAATCGCACTTGGGATGTTTTAAAAATCAGAAATAACAAATTTTATTTAACATTGAGGGGAAAGGTCAGGTGAAATCATTGGTTGAAATTGCTGAGGTAAAACTAGTACAAGCACAGACTTTTGTTCTTATACATCAGGCTAATAAGAGGTTCTTAAATTATTCACAATTACTTAGATCTTTATATTGTGAGGCTTTTGTTCAAGTGTTTCCCCAAATATTATAGTTCACTTTGAGTAATCTCTGACTCTTTTGGTCTCCAGAAGGCTGGTACTCTCTTTCCAGTACCGAAACCCTTTCTCTTGGAACACCAGTACTCTTTTTGAGTTTTTAACTGACTTTTAAGGTCTGCCCTGGTCTAATCAAACCAGACCAGGGATCTCTGTACTCCACAGAGATAACTCTCCCTGTTTGACCAGGTAGGAATTCTTCTTCTCTCTCTAGAAGATCTATTCCCTTTCCTTTGGCTTGAATGGGAGTCTTCTACTACCCAAACCTCATTGCCAACCCCCCCCCCAGTTCTCTGTCTGTGCTCAAACTGCTCTCAGCTAATGCTGAATAGACTATATTCAGTCACAGCTGAAATCTGGAATATGTCGAAACAAACAAACAAGAGCTCTTTGTTCTAGCAAATTAATATGAAGTCTAGATTCTGAACTGGACCATAACCCATGAACAGTGTGAGTGCCACAATGAGCTCAACCCACTAGGCATCTGTGAAAACAGATCCAAAATTTGACACCTAATGTCAAATTAGATGGAATAGACCACCAGAGTAGAAAACTTTTTCCATTGAGAATGTGAATGAGGCTTAAAAGACCACAGGAACCAATTTTGAAGGGTTCTCATGTGCACTCTAGCAAAAGGCATGGCCGCTGTAGTCAAAGCCATGTAGCCTAGGAGTTCCTGAATGGCCTTAGGCAATTGAAACCTGTTGGCAGAAAACTTCTGGACCAGACCAATAATGGCCTAAATTCCTCGGGATTACTAATAAAAAGCCAGTCATTGAGGTAGGCGTAAATAATACACCCCTTTAGCTTCAGGTGAGATAATACTATGACAGAAATGCACTTAGTGAACATTGTAGGTGCTGTAGCTAAACCAAATGGGAGGACTGTGTATTCAAAGGCCTTGCCATAAAAAAATTCGTGCTGGACTCATTTTGCAGGAGAGGTAGTAATTCTTGGAGGGAAAGCATCCAAAATTTGGACGTGCTTGTTCAGGGCTCTGAGGTCCAATATGGGCCTTTTCCCACTGTCCTTTTTTATTGATGGCAAAAAAAAAAATCTGGAGAAAACCCCTGTCATTGGCTGTGGAGGACAACTGATGAATAGCCCCTTTGGAAAGGGGAGGAACCTTCCTGTGAGAGGAAGCTGCAGGGATGCTGCAGAAAGCACAGTGGAATGGAGTGGAGGCATGGAATCAAACTCAATGAAATAACCCTTATTTATTACAGAAATAACCCAAGGACCATCAATAATAGACAACTAAATGTGTGAAAATTGGGACAACCGGTCCAAAAAGAAAATTTGACTTGCTAGTCAGGCTGGGGGCTGATCCCCTGAGGTTGTGTTCCCTTGGGGTTTGGCTTGAATGCTTCCCCCCTTGAGCTAAGGGATCACACCCTGGGGGTTCTGGTTTTGGAATGCCCTGTATGTTTGCTGTGGATTCTGGGGTGCCTGAAATCTGTAATCGGGGAACCTGTATGGTCCAGGAGATTGATCCCTTTGATTGGATTTGGGGGGATATCTCTGTCTATATGGCTAAGAAGTGGAGAATGTCATGCCCAATAACTTAGCAGTGAGCTTGTTTTTCTGAATATGATCTAGGTTTGGGCACTGAACAGCTCTTGATCTTCAAATGGAAGGTCTTCCACTTTGGTCCTAGTACCCTGCAGGAAAAAGTAGGATCTTAACCAGGAGTGTCTATGCAGGGTAATTTCTGATGCCGTAACTATGCTGTGACAGTCAGCTGCATGTCTGGCTGCATTTAACGGTTTGCTTAACTTTTGGCATTCCAGGAGTAATACCCTCATCAGCGGTTTCTTATCCTCAGGCAGGGAATTGACAAATTGACACATATGATCCCACACCAACATTTTGTAATGGCTCCTTACAGCAATGAAACTGGAGACATGTAGTCCCATTGCACCAGAAGAACAGACTTTGTCTAAAGGTGCAGAGTGTGTCCCAGCTCTACCCTTTGTGGGCAGTTCTTCTGGGACCAAGGAATTAGCCTGTGGATGTTGAAAGAGGTAGCTGGCTCCGTCCTCTCTGATTTTGCATACATTTTCTAACTTCTTAGCCAAAGCTGGGGATGACAAAGGCTTATCCCAGATTCCCTTGGAAATGTCATGGATGCCTTGCAGCAGAGGTAGCACAATGGGGCCTGACTCTAATATTCTAAGTTGAAAAATGATAACTAATGGTTGGAAGAAGTGGATCAGCTGGCAAGAGGCTCCAGGCATGGGGCATCTCGGTCAGGCTAGGAACACTTGACTGCAGATGAAATGGAAAAGGCACCAGAATGAGGCCTACCAATATCTCTGTCACTTAGGTAAAGGTTCCCTTGCTCAAAAGCCAGTCAAATCCGACTCTAGGGTTGTGGTGCTCATCTCCCTTTCAAAGCCGAAGAGTCAGCGCTGTCTGAAGACATTTCCGTGGTCATGTGGCCGGCATGACTAAACTCCAAGGCGCACGGAACGCTGTTACCTTCTCATCGAAGTGGTACCTATTTATCTACTTGCAATTTCTTGCTTTCAAACTGCTAGGTTGGCAGGAGCTGGAACTAGAGACGGGAGCTCACTCCGTCATGCGGCACACTCGGGTCTCGAACTGCTGAAGTACCGACCTTCCACAGCCTGCAGTTCAGCATCTTAACCACTTGAGCCACCACAGCTCCTGTAACTAATAGGAAGTTAAACACTGCATGGAAGCCTGGAGGATCTGGCATCCCCTACTGAACTGGAGGAAAGTTTGCAGAACTGGGTCATCCTGGCCAAACTTGGCCTTTGCTCCAAATGTAGTTCCTATTAAGATTTATGATCTTGAATAAGTCATTAGGCAAATAGTGCTCACAGCGATGAAGAAGAAAAATGGAGGAAAGAAAGGTTTGTGCTCTCCTCACAGCAGCAAAAGGAGGGAAGAGTGCTCACCCCACTCCCATCATGTGACCCTTTGGGCAGGAAAAGGGATTAACCAAGACAGGGGTGGGGAGGAGCACGCACAGGCTCTAGAAAGCTTGTTAGCTCTTTCGTGGCTGTCCTGTGATGACCATGCAGACCCCATGTGGGCCTGCGCAGAAGCCACAACGATGAACCGTAATTTTAAATGCAAATGTATTCATGTATAATTCTTTAGACTTAATTTGTAAAATTTCTATTCCAGCACAAAACAGTAGGTAGAAGATAGCGATTAGATGTAACATGTTTGCTTTCAGTGCTACCAAGCTTTATTATATGATTGTGATATAAAAGTAACATTGCCATGCTGCGTGCGCTGATTTCCAGTCCCACCATTAAGACAGCTTGAGAATCAGCATTTAGTGTAATTGACCTTCATGGAGGTCCTTCACCAGGCTAAATTCCAGCGCTGCCCAACTGCATAAGTTACAAGCAAAAATAAAAACAGCTAACTCGTTTTTGTGAAGCAGACAAAAAGTAGCAAAAAAGCAAAAGAGAAGAGACATCAACAAGGATGTGGCAGCTTCTGTTTATGGGAGACAGTCAAAACATCCCATGTATTTGTTGTTATAATTTTCTATTATTTTAGATGGCTAGCTTCTGTAAGGTTAGATCCAAATCTTGTCTTTCATGAATGGAAGATGCTTTTGCTTGCAGTGGTGGATCTATGATTTAAGTGAGTTTCTCCTTCCAGTTGCCTCCTACTCCCTATCATTTGCTGTTCCTAAGGGTCCCTCCATATCTTTAGGCGGCTTTGCAGGGAAAAAGGAAGTGAGACACATTGTGCAAGCCAAACTCTTCTTGTGCTTCAGTCCTAAACTGAATTAGACTCTTTCACTTCAAAGGACTTAGAATGGTGTGACTTCGCTTAGGACTACACTCTTAGTATCCAACATATTGGATTTATGTAACAATAACTTAAAAATGTGTATCCCTATATAAACAATGTTGCTCCTGATATCCCTGAGAAATGACCCTTTAAAATGAAACATTTATTTTTGCAGAGCAACATTTGTTGTTTCCTTCTGGATGTTCAAAAGAATAAATGATAGAACTAACAACACTGGTCAAATGAATACGAAAATAAAACTCTGCAGTACTTATTAAGCATTAACCAGGTTTTTTTCTCTCTTAGAGGCTTGTTTAGCCTTTGCATAAAGCATTAAGTCACACAAACAAAACTGAAGTTTACTTATTGACAATGAATTGTTAATAGTGCACAACAAGGGATTACCATTCACAGGTAGGAACTGAAAAATAATGAACCATAAACTTCAAAGTAAGAATACAGCATTAGATATACCCATAGCTCTTCCATAAAGTGTGAAGTCAGCCTAAGGGTGATGGCAAGATTGTACTCTTGTCTCTTGAAGTCAGTGATTCCTTCTGGTTCAGAGGCTCAAATGCACACCGTGAACCCATGAAGCCTTCCTCATTCACTCCAGTGGAGGATCAGCTTCATGCATAAAAAGATATAAAACAGAATTTCTTAAGGGAAGGAAACAGAGTGAGATAATGCATAGTGAAGACAATAACTATGTAAGTTTGTACACATCAGATTTCTAATAAGACATTCCATAGGTGTAACCTACATAAGATCAAAATATACGATCATTGTGATGTGTTTACTTGTGGATTTTTCATACTTCAAGGTGTAGAAACAGTAAAATGGACAGACACTGATTAATATGAATTTATAGTGAAGTTCCATTTTAAAGGGTCATTTCTAAGAGGTCACAAGAGCAACATTGTTTGAATCGCTATGAGCTCTAAAAATGTTTCCTGAATTGAGAGTCCCATAGGAAAAGGTCTATAGAAATGGGAGTGTTAAATACATACTTAAAATATCTCTTACTGGAAGAAACATGCCTTAAAGTGCTTCACTGGACCATGCCCATAACATTTTGAAATAAATAACTCCGATGATAGCCCCTTAGAACACACTATCATATTTTAGCCACATACTCTGTACAAAGGCAGTTAAGGCAACATTCAACAAAGCCCAGTACACCTTATAATAACTTCTGTTTCACATAAAACCGCTCTCCTAAATAACCACTGACATTCAAAATACACTGGTACTAGATTGTAATTGCAACTTTAAACATTCCATGTTTTCATTAATCAGCAAAAGATTTCAGAACTCCTGCTTGAAAGTTTGGCAAAGAATTTAGCATTTCTCTCTCATGCTACTAGAAGCTGGCCAACGAAGGCAGGATTTCTGTCTCTAATCAATGCCATGATAAGTGCAGAAGCAGAATCAGTGATCTCTTCAAGTTTCATGTTGTCCTGAGGGGAAAAAGAATACCTAAATCAGATCCTTTTATTTCTAAAACAGTAAATTCAAAACATTCGGTATTTACAACTTTTCTGGGGAAAAGAAATCACAAGTAATAAGGTGGGCCCATAGCTTTGAGATAAAGCACAAATCAAACCCTGGTGGAATGCAAATGAATAAAAGAACTGAATGGAGGGAGAGAATTGTGTACCAAAAACAAATGGGAATGGGACATATTGCTGCCACATCTCTCCTTATATATAAAGCCGTAGTCCAACATTCCAAAATGCACTCCTTTAGTGTTTGGCCGGAAGAACTGCCACTCAGAAGACGCTGGCTGGGTTGACTGGCTGCTTTGTGCAGTCCCGCCCAGCGTTTTAAGGTCTTTTGCATATGGAAGCTGATTGGACCTCACTCCATTCCACACCTCAAACTCCCCCCCCCCATAGGGTTGCCAACTCCAGGTTGGAAACTTCCAGGATATTTTAGGGATGAAGCCTGCTGAGGGTGGGGTCTGAGGAGGAGGAGGAAGAGGGGGACCTCAGACAGATACAATGCCATACTGCCCACACTCCAGACAAGCTGTTGCCAGTCTCCAGGTGACAGCTGGAGAGCTCTTAAAGCTTTGGTGCTAATTCAAAGTGTTGCAATTTATTGACAGAGTAGTGTTTTGGAAAATCTTTAGGAATTGTTTGGTGCATTTACGATGGGGCTCCTGGGGAACTATTGTTGCCAATCTTGGCCCAGCAGCCATCAAACCATTCTCTTCAACCCCCTGCTGTGCAGCTGACTTTCCCCTAGGGTTGCCAATCTCCAGGTGGGACCTGGAGATCTCCCACTGTTACAATTGATCTCCAGATGACAGAGATCAGTTCCCCTGGAGAAAATGGATGCTTTGGAGGGTAGACCCTATGACATTATACCTGCTGAGTCCTTCTGCCCCCCTGCCCAATGCTGCCCTCTACAGAATCCACCCCCAAAATCTCCAGGTATTTCCCTCCTTAGAGCTGGCAACCCTACATTCCCCTCAGTGCCTGTTGGTAGGCAACTAAGCTTGGTCCTGTCACCTACTTTGGCCTTTGGGAGAAAACACATTGGGGCCAGTCCTGATAGGGTTGCCAACTCCAGATGGGAAATTCCTGGAGATTTGAGGGATGGAGCCTGAAGAGGGTGAGGTTTGAGGAGGGGTGGGACCTCAGACAGGTACACTGCCATAGACTCCACCCACCAAACCAATCAGTCCCACATAGGGAACCATTGTTGCCAATCTCCAGGTGAGGGCTGGAGAGCACTCAGAATTACAACTGCTCTGCAGAAGGGAGGGCAGACGTCAGCTGAAGTCAAAGGGGCAGATAATGGTAGGTTGATGGTTAGCTGGGAAGGAGATGGGGTTGCCAACTCCACCCTCCAAACCAGCCATTTTGTCCTGGGTAACAATTGCTGCCAATCTCCAGGTGAGGGCTACAGATCACTCACAATTACAACTGCTCTTCAGGTAGCAGAGATCAGTTCCTCTGGAGAAAACAGTGGACTCTGTCATTATACCCTGCTGAGGTCACCACAGCAAATTGACACTGTTTGCCCAAAGCAAAAGCACTCCCCCAGAGCCTCTTTCTAGATCCCGTTGTATTGCTTTCACAACGGGCTTTATTGCTAGTATTTCATATTCCATTTGCGCCCACTTCATAAGAACATAAGAGAACATAAGAGAAGCCATGTTGGATCAGGCCAACGGCCCATCAAGTCCAACACTCTGTCACACAGTGGCCAAAACCCAGGTGCCATTACGAGGTCCCTTGAAGTCTGGCAGTTTACATAAGGATATGAAAGTCACAGAATCAGGTAAGATTAAACAAACATGCAATCATCAATTATCGGGGGGGGGAATCTTGCAACAGAAAAGAATTGTGATGATGGCTTTGTACAGAGTGGTTCCCACCAATAACACTGAAGGTTCCATAGCTTAAAGAAGCTGAAATGGTGCCTATTTACCTGAGCTATTCTATTCTTTGATATTTTCTTCCATTTCCTTTCCTTTAGTAGTTATTACAAGATTAAACTACCAAGAGGCAAGCAAGGAGAGGACAAAGAGAGACACCCCAACCAGATGGCAGGCAGAAACACAGGAGGGGGGCAATACATAAGAATATAACGTAAGAGAAGCCAATGTTGGATCAGGCCAATGACCCATCCAGTCTAACACTTTGTCACACATTGGCCAAAAATACCAGGTGCCATCAGGAGGTCCAGCAGTGGGGCCAGGACACTAGAAGCCCTCCCACTGTTGCCCCCCCCAAGCACCAAGAATTATACAGAGCATCACTTGCCCCAGACTGAGAGTTCCTATCTATACCTTGTGTCTAATAGCCACTGATGGACCTCTGCTCTAACGACTAAAAGAAAATACGTACACTAATGACTAAAGGAAAAGGAATGGAAAACGAACTCCCACACCAATGTCACAGAACGGGCAGATGGATTGGGTGGTGGCTCTCCCTCTCCTCCCTCTGATCAAGTCACCCATGGAAGCCAACACATACACTCTGTCACCGTGCTATTTACTCCTTCGCCCTCTGCACCAGGCCCAATATCTCTAGATCAAAGTTGGGCTCCTTTGGCCCTGACCCATGCCTAGTAAGGAATCCTGCCAACTTTTGTCCTACACCTTTAGACAGAGATGATGTGGCTCGTGGAGGCAGTGGCAGCACTTGCTTTAGGGTTTGCATTGCCACCGTGTCCCACTGGTTATGGTCAAGCAGTACCACTGCACGCACAAATTTCTTATCCCCCAGTGTCTAAAGACATTTTGCTGCCACAGTCTGTCACCAGGTAGCCCCATCAACAGCTGCTTCCATGAATTGCAGCCCCTCCACCATGAGGTTCATGGTCTGGAGGTTTTTGGTAATCACATGGTTCTGTGAAGACCCAGAGTCTCAGCTGGGCCTACTAACGGCTCCCTCAGTATAGTGAGGGACAGTACATACGCTATGCAGTGCATGCTGACTGCTCCAAATCTCACTAGTGACGGACACAGTAGGACCCACTGTCCACCCAGCTGTACCTTCACCTGATCCCTAGAGAGATGGTACCATGATTCTTTTAAACATAGTAAGAACATAAGAAGAGCCACGCTGGATCAGACCTATCAACTTCCTTTCCTCAAACCAAACAACCAATCTGAAAGCAAAGGTTTCTCCTTCAAACAAAAGTGGTTCCTATAGCAGATGTGGCATTCCCTACCCCTGGACCCCCCCTACTGACTTCGACTCTGAGCAGCCTGCAAAAATAGTTGATGTCTTATGGAGCAACAACCTGGGGAAGGGCATTCCATTTGAAAATTAGGACTCTAAAATCAAACCCAGATCTAAACCTCCTCGGACACTATGACAGCACATGGATTAGAGCCCACAGAGGACCCTTAATCCTCCTTGACTGACCATTCTGGCTTAGTATATGCCAGTTTTTGAGATTGGGTCCCATTACAGCCATGCTTGAATAAGAATTATTCGAAACGCGGCATCAGGCATCCGGATTACACGTCGGCTTTTTATGGCTCAGAACATTTGATGACTTACACCTCAATTTGGACTCTGATATTTGCTTCTATTTTGGAGTAGACGCATGGAAAGACTGTAGACTGTGCTTCTATTATGCTTTATTATTGCACCTTGGCCAATTGATTCATATTATACTTGCTGTTATGCTTATATGATTATTATATACTTGCTATTTTGCTTGTGCATTTATTTTCAACCTTTTCAGTAGGCATTCAGCCTCCAACAAAAATGCCAAACTACCTGAGATCATTCTTCCAAAGTACAGAAGGGCATTCATGCTAGTGCGCCTGAATGCCCTACCTTCAGCTGTGGTGTCAGGAAAATTTCATACTCAGATCGACTCTGTAATTGTGGCAGCAGTAAAATTGACTCTGTGGATCATAATCTGCTTGATTGTCCCAAATTTTCACCTCTAAGAGATGAACTGATCTCCCCTTTATTTAATCAGGACCTCCTCTATCCAGAAGCAAAATCATCCTGGTTACTTAGAGACAAAGAAAAATAAACTACCCTGTGTGTGGCAAAATTTCTAGCAGCTATTGTCAAATCATATGACAAGTTTTGCAGTAGCAGCCTTTAAATTTTTCCATGTTCTCCTGTGGAATGAGGTTTATTGTGGGACGAGGGTTTGCTGTTTATGACTCCGAATGCAAAAACAGCAAAAACAATAAATAGTTGATTGAAGAAACTGAGAGGGCTCCTCAAGGCCAAGGATCCCCTCACATCTGATGATGTACTTAATAAAAGAGATGTTCCCCACAAACCTCTCCTTATCGTGCCCAGAGTCCTCCTAGTGAAGTCTTCTTGACCTAGTCCTCCTATGTGCTACTCTCGCAGTCATGTTTGCTAGGGGCTGGGGAAGCCTGGCCAATGCCTTTGGCAGTAGGTACACTTCTGCTCCTAAGGCTGCCCGCACTGAGCCTCCCCATTCCTGCAACTTCTGGCACTGCACCTGAATGCTCTTGCCTGCTGCTGCAAAGTTCTCACTGTCTTCTTCCCTCAAAACGATGCACTTAATCTTGGGGGGGAAAGTGTTACCAAGGGTGCCAGAAAGCCTAGCTTCACAGCCAACAAACATCTTCCTTTCCCCATGGTGCAACTCTGCCAAGCATTTTTTCTGCACTCTGCTGGTGGTCAAAAGGCAATCCTCTGCGGCCTGTTCTGTCATGGAACCTGCCTTCCTTGGCATGCTAAATGCAAGACTTTGAGCCCACTATATTATGCTATCTCCCTTCTTTGGAGTGTTGGAAGTAAATCACCCTCTACCACGCAACACTGCCAGCACTCTTAGCATATGTTGGAAAAGGCAATGTCTTGTTTACAAAGAAGACCCTGCAGGGGGCAGCAAAGAGACAATTAGATAGGATAGTGAGGTCAGCACTATCTCTCCTGTTAAAGTGTCAGTTTGTCTCCAGATTGCTACTCTTAGGTCAGTTTCCCCCTTCTTCTCAGAA